GGGTGATGGGCAGATGACAGGGAGCCGGGCAGGTGAGGGGGAGGGAGCACCCCTGGAAGTGGGGAGCAGGCAGGGTGATGGGCAGATGACAGGGAGCCGGGCAGGTGAGGGGGAGGGAGCACCCCTGGAAGTGGGGAGCAGGCAGGGTGATGGGCAGATGACAGGGAGCCAGGCAGGTCTGGGAGAGGCGGGTGGGGGGAGCACCCCTGGGAGAGTGACTGTGATAGGTTGTGACCCCTCAGGCAGCTGGTGGAGAATCAAAGGCGAGGGCCGGGGACATAGTCGTTCTTGTTGAGTGACAAGTTCCCAGCAGAGGGTGGTGGTGGGGACAGCCAGAGGTGTCAGGGAAGAAGAAGGGGCCTTAGGGGAAGGGCACCTGCTTGGCATTTCGGAGCTGGCCTGGCACTCTACGGTGGTTGCACAAACGGGGTATGGATGCTGAAGTTCTGCCAGCGTCTAGCAGGGCCGGAGTCACCATGATGGCCTGGATATTGGGGTATGGAAGATAAATCCTGGCAAGAAACTGAATGCCGCAGGTGAGCCCGGGAAGTGTGGGGGGAGGTGGAGATAAACCCTCCTGGCGACGGCAGCGAAGGAGAGTTTGAGGAGGCGCGGGCCCTGTCAGGGGGCCACCCCTGGCATCATGCCACATCTGTTGTTGGAGTGTGATTTGTTTTGTTTTAGTCGCCATTTTGCATCACGGTCAGCTGTGTTGACTCAGCAGAGAAACCGGCGCCACGAGTCATCCAGCCACAGCACAGCTGGGACCAGCGCTTGAGTTTTCTCGTCTCCCAGTTCAGGGGTCTTTTCCTGAACTGTAGCTTTTGACAGTTTTCGCATAGACGTCCTTGACTAACACTCTGGATTTAAATTTTAAAAGAGCCACCTTGATCATTAAGCCTTTGAGGATTTAAAGAAACTTCTAGAATGAAACGTGGTCTGACGTGGACACCCCATGCCACTAGGCTTCTGCTCTGGTCCCCTCATGATCCCAGTGACCTCCCAAGTTGGGCGAGGCTCAGCATTAGTTAGGATCAGGCACAGAAAGGAAACCAGAAACAAATTGTTTCTGTAAAGATTTAACGTTATGTGACATGAAAAGTGAGGGATGCCAGACTCGGTTCCACATGGTCACCCCCGGTAGGACCAGGTCTGCTGGATCAAGAAGTCACATCAGATTTCACTCACCGGATGGTTGGTTCATCTACTTGAATGATTTCTGGGTCTGTCTGAAGTTGGCCGGGCAGAGGCTCTGTCTAGTTTCATGATGAGCTTAGGGAAGAGACCAGTGGGATTTTCAGGACCGTTTTGGGGGAATCTAGCTTTGCATTTATCTACTGGTGATTATCACAAGATACCAATTTGTAAAAACACAACTAAGTACACACCGGTGCTATCTGGCCTCTGTTTATCTTGATGGCTTGGCCATCCAGTGACAGTGCTGGGGTGTGTGACCTCATGGGAAGCTCTTTGCTGCTCGGAATGCAACTTTCTGTTAACCAGGGGTCACAGACTCAAGAACAGCAGGGGCTCTATGAGCTTCACTCCACTCAGGATACTTGGGCTCACGTTAGGGATGCGTTTAGTCCTGGTTTGCAAACAGCCTGTGGGCGAATGGTCTGTCTGTGCTTGTGATGGTCCCTGCCCTTCTTCCGAAATGCAGTCCTGGCCCCCGCAGCTGCCCGAGCTGTGCTGCACCCATAGGCTCCCTCCCTGGCATCACCAGGGCCCAGGATGAGGAGATGCAGGAGCCAGGGTTTCGGCGGTTCCCTGTTACTCAGGTGGGCACACTCATTGCAGTCAATGTTGATGATATAAAGACAAGAAAGAGTATCCCCATGATCACATTTTGAGGTTGTTTTCCTCCAATTGTCTCTCTTGCACATGTTTGATGTCATCGTGATGATAGAGTATTTATCTTGCTTCTTAATATTAGAAAGCATTGTCCCATATCATTGAAATGTTCATAACAATTTAATTGCTTGTAGCTGCTGCGTTGTGGTTGTTGCATGGTTGGTTTAATCATTTCTCCCTTGTCGGTTTCGGAGTGAATTTCGGGCTCCACGAGGGCAGATGACACAGCGCCACACATCTCCCTGCATCCCCCGTCCCCATCCTGCTTCCAGTTCAGGCTTGGTTGGTTCCTGGAAGTTGATGTAATGAGCTACGTAGATTTTCCCGACTTTTACACGTGATAAAGAAGGTAGTGCCAGCGCACACTCATGCAGGATAGAAGTGTCTTTGTTTAGGGCAGGGACAGACACATCCAGCTGCCTTACGATGGGGGCTCCGCACATCAGAAAGACCAGCCGTGTAATGTAGAGTGTGGACTTGGAGTGACGCCGTATCAGTCGGTCAATCGTTCATGTCTGTGTGACTCTGAACACGCAGACTCCGGGCACTTCCCGGACTGACGGTGCTCCACACGTGTTGTTAGAGTCGTGCTGGGAGGGTAACATGTCTGAACCTCATGCAACGAGGACCTGAGCTCTGCAGTTGGTCCCACCCTGCCCTGGGCACCTCTCTTCTTGAGGTTTGGGGACGGTCCTCTGCCCTCGTAGTTTGACTAACTCCAGAGAGAGAAGAGAGATCCCATGACAGGATGCTTAAGATCAGCACCTCCCGTGCCCGCCTTCCTTGCACACTTGGGCCACTTGTGTGTTTACTGGTCCTAGACCACAGAGCTTGTGCGTGTGGCCTGGGTGCCCTCCCTCCTCTGCACGGCTTTGGTAAGGAGGGCAGGCGGCGCTCGGTGGCAGCCCCGTAGCTTGAAAGAGGCAGTGTTTTTGCGGAACACTGTTATTGACGATCTTGTCAATAATTTCATTAAAAAGGTTTTCAGCATATGTGTTTCTCATCTGCAGATGAGGGACCCAAGACACAAGTGTGTTGGGGCTCCATGTCCACCCTACGATGCCCCCCGTGCCCCTTCTCCGGGCTGTTTCCCCAGGCCATGTCCCGGGCAGCCACCCCTGTTTGCACTGGCCATGTCCACCCTACGATGCCC